CGCAGGCACTTTAAAGGCATGAACAGCCAGACAATTTTTCTGGGATACAGAGGAGGGGGAGGGGAGCTGGTGTTTTTGTCTGAGCTCCGGGTGAGCGGGAAAAAGGAGAGAAAGAGGAGGATGTGTGAAGAGGCCTGTACTAAAGTAAAATATTGCATTGAGCCACAGAATTGCGAAGGATAGAAGGTATTCATTTATTAAAAGTTATATTTTGTTATTATTTGTTTAGTTTTGTTATTACTGGTCAACATTAAAAGGAGATGACAGCAGACAGATATTTATATTTTCATCAGGAGTCATGATTAGATGAATAATTTCACATTTGGCCACATACAGTAACTGAAGAGTGAAGGAGATTGATTAATGAAATGTGATATGCAAAACTATTATAGTAACTAATTAAGGTTGGCCTTATGGAGTCATATGTTCGAAAGATCTTACCAATATAATTAAACAACAAGCCAAACTAGTAACACAAGTACTGTGAGTATGTTATCGTCAATATGGTAATGTAGTACGGGGGCTCATCTGGTTGAGCAAAAAGCTCTATAGTTTTATGTCTACAGACTTTATTCATTAAATAAACATACCATCCATATGCTCCTATGCCAGCAAGTATATTTCACTGCATAGTTTAAAGCTTGTTTTCACTGTGTACATGACAGTAAATCATGATTCTTCCAGGAGTGGTCCATGGAAGTGATGGCTTCAAAGGTCGTCATTTGAACAATTTTTTTTTTTTTACTCAAGGCTTTTTTCAAACCATTTTCAATCACATTAGGTCAGGAATCAAAATACAATAGATGGTTTGCAAAAACCACGCAAGTGCAAGTTCAGGCATGAGCCAATCAGCGAAGAGTCATATATTCAGTGTTGTCAACGATTCCCGAGATTTAAAGCCGGACTAAAGAGAATGTTTGGTGAATTTCATCAAGGGGAAAGACTTTATTGTCCTTCTTCCTACGGGGTTTGGGAAAAGCTTAATATACCAGTTAGCCACGTTAGTGGTGCATTACATACGTCACAACCAAATAGCAGCAATTGGTTAAATGATTAAAAGTACCTGCCTACCGTCGAGCGAACGAATTCTAAGGCTGTGAAGTCAGACAGTTTGTACAAAGTGAAACGAAGTAAAACAAAGTAAAACCGGCTGAGGAATCAGGCTATGCTTTTACAGGCTTGGCAAAGTCTCTTGAATACAAACACGAGGCTGCAAATATGCGGCATCAGCCCTTCCAGCCACAAGCTATCATACATGCACACGCCACATTCATACCCAGAAAGTTAGGTGACATGCCTTGCTTAAGGACACAACGTAATGGTCCCAAACTTGGTCCGAGCATGAATCGATCTTAGTGTTGCTGTCCCCTCACCACTGTAGCTAAAAAATAAACAAACTTTACTATACAGTCATAGACCCAGTTAGATATATTGCTACAATTGCCATAACATTATAATGTCATTATAACCAGATAACATATGACGAAGTTTAAGTGTGTAATGCAGTGGAAGAAGACATGGCAGCAAAGTATCCAGGAGGTGTAGGGACAGGCGGGTGGTTGATTTCAGAGACACACAAACAGTTAATCAGGATGGAGAGAAGCGGGGGGCTGACAGATGTGGAGCCGTGCACAGCTGGTCTGGGCCGGTACGGAGCACACATGGCACTGCTCTCCATATGCACCCATGTCCTCTGGCCTCTCCCACTGGGCGACCCCACACACAGGACACCCCTCTGATGGCCTCCTGTCTGGGGCCTGCAGGGGGATTTTGGATCATGCTAAACTGGGACATCCTCCATGTGGTTAGACCCAAAACATGAACTCCCTTTGGGGCTTGCGGAGGTGGGGTAGAGGGGTTTGTAGGGCAGATAATCACTACAATTTATTCATATTTCACACAGGTTGCAGGTGGCTATATCTAGTTCCAGCAAATATTGTGAAAATGGTTACTGACAGACATGAATTCACCATTAGCAATTTAGGTAATCAAATCACCCATATGTTTTGGGGCTGGGAAAAGAAGTACATAATAAAATAAGTGAATGTAAAATGATACTGAGAAAAATTAAAGATCTAGATCCATATTGTTGGATTCTGAATATAACAATATAATTAGATTGTATTTTTGCAATGTGCTATAAAGCTCTTGCATATGTCTATTCTAGTATCACACAAAAAGATAAAAATAAAATATTCAAAAAAGAGAAAAGTACAAACATATCACCATTAAAAAAAGGCCAGCCCGAAATTAACATTCACTTTGAGAAAACATGACAGCTCTATTTCTATCAATGGTTCTAAATATTAGGAAACACTTTTATTCACATCGTCTTAATCACCATTTTATCACCAAAGAGTCCACCTTTATTTGAACAACAGGATTAAACCAATGACTACAGTGTATTTACCTTTTATTCCACACACTGACAGACCCTCTTACACAGCGATAACAGACCCGTATATATTCAGGAAAAGCAAGTCAGATTTTTCACTGCTGTTTTCTGGACATCATCCAAACAGAAAGGTCGTGCGTCTCTGCCACTCAGCTGTCTGATTAGCTTCCTGCTCCAGACAGGCTACGAACCACAAGGTCAAAATAACTGTCAGTCATCACTGTTTTCAATGAGTTTCAAATAGCAATGGAAGTAAACATCCACTTTACTTTTTGCTATATTCTGTCTTTTTAACTAGTTCATTGCACTTTTTAAGTTGTTAATTTGCATGACATTACAATAATATGGATATAAGGATACACGGAAACATTACATTGCCATAACTCTTATATGGCAATTATACTTCGATTACTTGTACTGCTAATGTTACTGTTCCCATTAAGTACGACATCAGCAGCCACAAAATAATTTTAGTACTACAGCATTAATGTTTTTTTTTTTTTTTCTAACTTTGTCACACAGTCACTGTCACAAAATATATTAATTTAGGAGAAGGTGTTCTATGTAACATGTCAATTTCTTGTTTCCATTGAGATGTTATTGTGTAAAATATCTTGAGAAACATGAATTTTTACTGTGAGTGGAGTCTGTAACCTGTAACCTGAATGCATTGCCTGCTTGTGTCAATGGTAACATATATTTAATGCCATACTGTGAAACATGCCAGGCACAGCAATAACCTCATCATGGAGACAAGCAGGTGGAGGAGCTGAACCAGAAAAGTTACATAGCGCATCTTTAAGGGCAAATATACTGAGTGTTTCTTATAAATCTTAAACAGAAAAGTAGCCACTTTCCATTCCTGAAAAAAAAACCCACACAATTGGTTTCTGATAGACTTTGTTGGTCAAACTGAATTGGCTGATGTTTTACAAAGCTGACCTGACCTTTTCCTCAGCTGTTCCCTCTCTCGCTGAAAAAGTCAATCCAGACGACTAGAACTGCCTCCAGAGGTTTGATTTTTATGATCCAAATTAAGGAGCTATAAATGGCATGACCAGCCTCACCGCCGTCCCCATTTTCATTCAATCACATGTTTTTCTGTGCCCTTTGAAATGTGAAAATGGTTTAACTGCAGCTACATCCAAACAGCACTTACTGAGCAAGAGGTGCTTTCCTGCAGACTGAACAACAAGAGGCCAGTTCTCAGTGACATTTCACAAACCATCTTCAGTCCATTTACTTCAATTACTCTCACATAAACAGTACAGCAGAGAAAGGATAATTTACAATTGATTTGAAATAGATAATAGAGCTAGTATATGATCCATTGTCAATGCTGTACGGTTAACTGCACCATCACGCAACAGCAAGTTAACCTACAATACTGTCACCTTGCCAGATGTTGTTTGATAGTTCCCAGCCCTCGCCATGTAGCATGTACCATTGGCTCAGTAATGCAGAGAAGCAGAGGTCTTACTCATAACTCCAGTGAACCCTCTGAGACTGCACTCTAAACACAGGAAATTGAAATAAAGCAAATTTTATTGCTGCCTGTGGAGCAGAGAAATGCTGATTTTCTGTCTTCGGGCAATAGGTTAGTTTAGTTTATGTGGGTAGAAGACCTTTATTAGCAGGTTATACCATGTGTGTATGGGCCTGGGTATGAGTGCTCTGAAACTTAAAACAGGTATCATCAAGTTACTCATCAAACAACTAAGCCTTGATGAAGACCAGTTTGATTGAAACACGGCGGCTTTGGCCATTTAAATAAAGGCCTTTTAACTATATTTTTCATCATGCAAGTTTTTACTTCTTTGGAGTGCCTGGAGTCTGTTGTGTTTTAGGCATCATAAAGTTACTGAGAAGCTATTATATACTGATCCTAATTTTTGGAAAATAAGGGTAATGGTATTACATTTATGTTCTGCACCACCTTCACTCAATGGGCTCATGCATACTATCTGTGTATGAACCTGGGTATAGGTGCTATACAGACATTCATTCAAACAGACACACACTATCTGTGCATGACAAGCACTGCTACTAGAACCATAATATTCCCCTTGACGGACATGCACCATCATTTCACTGGTTACAGTTTCTGTCCTCTTCAGCATTTCCATGTTTGGCTACAGTTATTTGTGTTTATTTTGTACTCTTTCCCCTCTAGGAGACATTAAGATGCCTCGTTTTGCTAAAAGGCTGTGAAAGCGTGCAGCATTTTGGGAGCAGTCCCCATCAGTCATGCAGAGAAGGGACAAAGGAGCTGTTCTGTGTCGCGGGCTTGGCTGGCTTTTACATGTCAGCTAAATAAAACAGGCTATTTACATGTATGGCATCTCTTCACAGGCACAGTGGGCAGGCGGACCGATTTACTGTCAGCATGACTCTATAGGGACCACATTCAATTCAGCATATCATGTAGGATTATCCCTTTATTTTCAAAACACGTTATGCAAATCAGTGCAGCCAATATGAAGCAGGAAATAACTCCAGCTAGTTGTTCGCCTTATCATAACAGCAAAAGTAAGTATTACTTTGCCTGGAATGTTCCACAGTTGAACAGGTGTTTTTAGTGCACTTGAAAAACATGCATACTTACTGTGAGCGGGCTTGCCTCTGGACAGATCTGACCTGTAACTTGGCATGGTGGCATCCCCTGCTCCATGGAGACAAGCTGTTGACAGACACACAGTGCACTTAATGTAAACGTGATGTAAATATTGTAAAGTAAACACATTAATAAAAGCATGCAAACAGTTATCAAGAAATTAGTGGAGTGAAGTTAAGCTCCCACACATGCACTTTCTTAATAGAATATTAGCGTGACTGTTCTTGTGGAGAATAAGACAGGGAAATTGCAGTAAGTGTGTGTAGGAGTGAGTGGTGCTTGTTAGCAGCTGTATTAAATCCACAGGGACTCAACGGGGAGCTAGCTGCAGGGCCCTAGAGCAACATGCAGGCTAACGCATGAGGTGTGTGTAATTATACTAACAGAAATGACTATCTGTGGCAATGGTGTTTGGAGAGTGTGAAAAGACAATTTGTGATTATACTAGTATGCATTTCAATTAGGGACGTTCTGGATCGTTTAGTTAAGACTATGACATTAAGACATTTAGATGTACACAGAGTCAACAGATCATTAAAAGACTATTACTTTCAAATTATAATTATCAAGCAACATGTAAGTCTACGCAAATGTTATCTCTAAATGTAAGTTATTGCTGTAGTTTCAGTTTACTTCACAACTTCTTTCTGTAGGCAGACATGAAAAAAACATAGGGGCAGAGAAAATTACCATTGTTAAAGAGTCTATATAATGCAAAATTGATGCCGGGTTTGTGTTAAACATGCGTGAATGAAACAAATCACAACTCCAGGTATGTTTTTGATGAGGAAACATTATAAAAGGCCAGAAAATAGCATAATAAGGGCCCCTTGGTGATCATATTCAACATTTGGGGAATTTATTTTGGGTTAATTCTTATGAAAATACCATGAAAAAGGTGAAACTTGCTCACCATCTGCCCAAGTGCTGATTGTGCCACTCCAAAGCCTGGACAATTTCTGCTGCTAGTAGAAGTGAATAAAAATAATGCTTAGATTTGAGGTGGACATTAGATCATTAGACAAGAGCCCGTTATGTATTTATGTCAAAATCTTACTGTTCAATAATACAGCTATAAAATACGCAATGAATTTTCTTTCTGAATACCATCTTACGCTACAGTTCTCTGCAGGACAACAAAAGCCTTACTTCATAAATACCAGTAATAACTGATGCTTCACCTCAGGCCTGTTACAGTAAATGGACCCCGATGGGATCTTTTATAATGAAAGACAATTGTAATCAATGTTGACAATATTAGATTAGAGCTTCTGTCGATTTTCATTATTTTTCGATTAAATGCCTCACTTCATATGATGCTTCAAAGCTTCAGATCTGTCTCCTCAACGAACCACTGTCCCTGGGGGCTGTCTCTGGACATGTGTGTATCTAAACATGACAAATGTAGGAAAAATACATTATAGAGAATACAAAGATGAGATGGAAAAAAGCAAATAATTTTAAATGGATGCGTTTATTTTTGTTATGATTTTAAAACAGTAAAAATAAGCTACAGTACTCTCAGTTATGCGTCTAGATTTTATGCACTGTGTAATTTTCCTGCTTGAGCGTCCGCCACCTGCTTGTCTCCATGGAGATAATGTTTTGTCTTGATTGCCACAGTATGGAAATAAACTTGGTAATCACAACAGAGACAGGTTAATGGTCAGATCTATGGAGAAGCAAGTCTGCACATGATAAGAATTTATGTTTTTTAAGGTATTTTGGAGCAGTGCAATTGAAGAAATGCAAGGGAGATATGTGTAATGCCCTACGGTGGAACATTCCAAGCAAAGAAATAACATCTCCAGAGACAAGTAAGAAGCAGCCCCTCCACCACAGAAGTTACATAGTGCACCTTTAAGGGTTAGCATTTTGGCCTAAAAACAAATTTACATAGTGAGGTTTTATGTAAATTAAAAAAAAAAACATTTACCCCTTTACTGGACCATTAGAGTTTGAATCATGGTCCTTTATTGTGTGGTTGTGACTAGAGACAAGATGTAAATTAGCCTTGGCCACATCCATCACATTTATATGGGCACATTGATTTGCAGTACTTGTTATAATATGCACGGCCCCTTTAATAAATAAACAGAAGGCAATATATTTGCATTGCAGCGAGTACTTACATATTACATCTACATAGTTGAAGGGCCCATATTACGCTATTACTGATCAATATTATAATGTGGTTTCTGGAGTTATGTTTTGTTTCATTCATACGGGCTGTGTTCTTCTCTCAAACAGAAAACACTCTATTCCACCTTGTGATATCATGTGGGAATACAGGGAGTGCTCCACTGTATTTTTAAACTCCATACACGTTCACTTGAATCATTTGGGTGATTTCAGCCCTGGAATTGCTCATCTCTACTCAACAAAAGGTAAAAGGAAGCTGCTAACTTGAAAACTACGACTACATGACGTCACAAAGTGGAATAGTGCATTTCAATCTTTGGAGATGTAGAGAGACAACTAGGATTACTCAAACATGTGAATGAAACAAAACACAATTCCAGGTATGTTTTTGATGAAGTAACAACATTATAACATTAAACATTAAATCTCAAGAGTCAGTTTTGCTTAATATAGGACTTTTAAATATAGTAATTCCATAATGCACTTCTAATATTCTTTTTCTCGATATGCAACCTTCCTTTGAGACAACATAAATATGTGCACATTTATTGTATATGCATATCTACAGGTAATGTTACAATGGCAATAAAAGACTATACAGAAGCAAGCAATGAAATAAAAACAACCACATACACCACATTACCAGAATATTTAAAATAACTATTGCATAGCCAATAACACTACTTGTCTCTATATAACGCTCCCCTGAGGCAGCTTTCAAACGTGTGTGCATCTATAAAAGATTAAGGCACGAGCAGTGGATGCAAAAACAAACACAGGGTTTAAAATGGGGTAATGAAGATGGGATGAAAAGCTAAAACATGAATCGGGGGGCGGTTCGGTGGCAGTCTTTTGTCTTGACGCTGAAGCTAGTTTCATTAACACCATACTCTCCTCCCTCTTTCTCCCTCTTTCTCTCTTTCTCTCCTCCTCTACCCATCCTCAGACACACGCTACACGGCTACTGTCCTAATGGCTTCTGTGTATTCATTATCACCTCCCCATACGCCCCCGCCCCCTCCTCCCCCCACAGCCGTCCCGGGATGAGGGGGTGCTCCAGTAATTGATAATTAAAGAGCAATAACACAGCGGTCAATGCAATCTCGCGGCAGGAGAGAGAGGGACCCCCACCATCCCGTTCAAACGCACACGCATTCGGTCGAGTCAATAAAAAAGATGGCGCTGATCATTACAGTAACGCCTCACAAGACTGGGCATGTTTTTGAAGGTTTTTTTGGCATGATTTCAGACCAAAAAGCATTCAAAGATACTGCGGCTAAAAAAGCTCATAAAAAGAGACAGGCATGTTCATTTAGCTTCACAGTAGATCAATGCAGACTCCAAGCAAAGAGGCCACAGTGCTGCTGATTCATTTCTTGCACTTTTTTGTTATTCTGCCTATATAATATATTTTCTTTTTACATTTAAACAAATTCATTTCTACTACTCAATTTTATGCCTTTCATTTTATTTTTTAGTTAAAATTGGAAAGCCTCTGCTCCTCCTAAAACACACTGGATTAATGAACTATTGTCTTACTGCATCCCGGAGAATTATATATATATTTTTTTTTTACTTACTATTACTACTAGGTTTATGTTGCTCAAAATGGCCAAAGCACTTTCCCATGTTGAGAAATATGTTCACTGACAATGGCAAAGATTTTCTTTTCTTATTCTGCTACTGTTTACACTTCCACCCACTCCTTTTCGAAGATGTCAGTGTTTATGTAGGATTATGAATAATCATTATCGGCTGGTTTTCTTTGTGCCATATATGAAAAAGATCACCTGCCTTCATTGTTTTGTTTTGATATTATTTTTTTATGCATCTTCGAACCAAACAAACAAACAGAGCTGGTTTACTTTACTAAGAGTCACAGTCTGGATTAGAATTACAGCCAAATTCGGTTAATTCAAAACTCAGCTTATTACTGTGACATTTAGTCAAATTTGTTCATGATTTACAATAGTAAACCTGTCACGATAATTATTTTTCTGTTAAACGATTAGATTTGAGCTGTTAAATTAAACGTTGAAAACATTTCATTATATAAACAAACTACTTACTAAAGAAAGTGTTTAATTCTGCTATTTATTTGTTGCATTTTGTATTTCTTAACTATATTGTACATTTAGAATAACTTGGGGAGGGGGGTTATTCTTTAAAGTTATTGTGTCAGTGGCATAAATTAGATTCATTATCTTTTTTCACCTATATATTCTTATTTTGAACTTCAAAATGAGTTACCGTGACAGGCCTATGCAATACAACGAAGGGTTCAGTGATTTAATAACTGGTTGTAATTGAATCAGTCCTAAATCTTAATAAAAGGCAAGGATTGTCTTAAGAAGGGTTTATGACATAAAAGACTAATGGATAAACAAATCATTGTCTGCTCTCAGGTGAAACAGACCTACTAAAGATATAATCGATGACGCTATTAGTACAGATGCAATTGTAATTGCCAGCCCTGCTTTCATCCTAAAATTTTTAACGGTGCTTTAGTCTAGTTTTATGCTTTTTTACCCCCAAAAAACAATTCATAGCTTTGCCATGTTAAAAAGATAGCAGGCTACATCTTCCTCATTTCCTAATTAGGAAAATTTCACAGCCACTGCCGCCTCTCAAAGAAGTAAGCACAAAAGAAACACATATTCGTAAAGCTGTGGATCAATACATGGACTCAAATCAAAAGGCCGTAGCGCTATTGATTACACCAGGCCTGAATACTCCTGCATTAACATTGCCAGTGTGAAGCCAGACAAATCCCCATGTTGTTAGTCAGCATATTTCTGCAGACAATAGCAGATAATGAATAGCCTTGTTCATTAATTGAGGAAAACAATACAAGGGAGCAGCTTACAACACAATGAAATGCTGTGGGCTTTGCAAGAAACATTAAGAAATTTTAAGTCCAAAAT